TTCCTTTTACGAATAAAAGAAACAAATGATGCAGTTGAGATCAGCAGATATGAACTTTGTTGGTACGTCAGTGGTTTTTCTGGGCTCCTATGAGTCAGTGGTCGTCTCAAGGGCAAGAGAGCGCATTCAGAAGGTCTAAAAATGTGCAGAACTCCTTCAATAATAATAAGAAGGAAGAATATTCCCGTCCGTTGGAGTAAACACGTAACCTCCACACATAAAGGCCATGCTTGAGCCATAGACTGTATATTAAAGATGGACAGTGCCACTATAACTTCACCCACTGATTCGCGAAGCTTTAAACGTTTCACATACAGTCTGTGGTTTAAACCCGGGACCCTCTCACTAAGAAGCCACGATGCTTATTACTGAGCCAACGTGCGGTCTTCATTTGGCTTGAGATAGAAGCTTTGAATAAAAACCTCTGAATGTGATGCACATTTTCACTCTGTTTTCAGATGTTTTAATGAGAAGATCTCCAGTCAAAAATGTAAAAAAGAAATCATTAGTTCCAGTTTTTCTGTCTGGTCTGATCATTTTCCAGCACACACACAGTCTTCACACGTCTACAACCTCTTTCCTACATTTCAAAGTGAGAAATAAAACTTTGATATTTGAGCTTTAATTGTTTGCTGTTCTGCTGAACAAAATGAAATGCACTCAATTCAAATTTAACTCGGGATTTTTAAAAGCTTCACTCATAACATAGACATGTGAGACATGTGAGACATGTGAGACACACACTAAATAAACCTGATGGCCACAGCAGGTTATTAGAGTTCTGCTCCACCGTTGAACCCACAGACATCACAATCTGCACCTCCTCCTCTAATTCTGAGCCTCAGTGTTTTCATTAGAATAACACAACTAACATCATTTGCATTAAGTGGTTTTCAAACAGGCACTAAATGGAGAAAGCTGCTGTCTGATTTTTTGTGCACGTTAGTAATGAATAAATACACCACCAGTCTGCAGGTTGGCCTCTCCTGCTAAATGCACGCACATCTTCTTGAGCGGTATGTTGCATATGTTCGATAAAATGACAGCGTGTGACCTGCTGCTCTGTATCACACAAATGCAGACAGGTAATGAGCAGTGAAGGTGTGAGACAAGGAGGTGTTGCACATTCAAACACTTCAGACAGGGAGCTTTGAGGCCAGCTCACGCGTCGTACCTCAAAGCGCTGGGAGCTGACTTTCTTTCCCTTTTTCATCCAGGTAATGCGAGGCTTGGGCTCACCGACCGCCTGGCATACGAACGACGCCACTCCTCCCGAAATCCCTGTTTGATCCTCGGGGGACTTGATGAAGCTGGGCGTGCCTAAGGGAAAGAAACGGAGATGAGGGCAGGAAGAGAGCAAAAGCAGAGTCAGATGAAGAGCCCTGACAGAGAGACATCTCTGTACTTGCTTTAAGTCCAAGAACAATATGCTCTTTCAAAAGCTGTTTCATGTCTGTAGCCACACCCAGCCGTACAAACAGCCCAGCACCATCCTTTCCCTGAAAATATGCAACATCCGTCAGTCTTATTAGTGGCAGAGAGCAGGCAGATGTGAACGGACAGATGGAAACCTTGAAAAATCTGCTTTGAATGCATGAATAAACATGAATCATAAACCAGCCCTGTGACCATAATACTGTACATCACCAACATGAAAGGCTGGAACAAGTGTTGTGCATGGATAATAGTGCAGCTCAGAAGATCCTTTTTAAAATTCAGGTCATGGTCTCACATGTTAACCATACACAGTGGTGGTTTGGACCACTAGTGCAGTTATGATGCAATGTTTAAATGAGCACTGGACCTGTTCTCGACGAGCAACTTCATAAAAATACATGAGAAATGTAGCAATATATGTAGGGGAGTTGTAACGTGGGTCAGTTGTAACACAATTTCTCCAATCAGGGCTAAGTTTCAAATGATGTGACTCATCCTGTGCATGTCCAACTCAGTTCTGCTATCACATGTGAAAAATCAGCACATTTTGTCAAACAGACAATTTAACACAAAAAAAGTCATTTGTATGCCAAAAAGTAAGTTTTTCTACTTTATTTCAATTTCTAACAGCATGATCTGCTTTGCAGTTAAACTCATCAAACTTAAATTATGTTATTTGTATGTCTATGGGGATATATTCTGTGTAGGTCTTTAGTGCTAATGTTTTAGCCGTT